CCTAGGACATCTTTATGTGGAGCAACCATTCTTTTTTTCACGCCTTCTCTCATTTCTGCATTTTAGTAATTTCACACAAAGTTACTGCTGTTCGACATCGATCAGCTCCAACTCCAACATGATCTGCTCAGTTTCAGTCGCCATTGTTTGTAGGGGACTATTCCAACGAAAAAGAAGAAACAACACAGTGGAACACTGAAACCTCACCAAGACACCAACTCACAAATATAAATGTGCATGCAGGCTAAGGCGTAGACTTGACGCAGAAGTAGAAATTGGCCTTAAGCCTTATGAGGCGTCACTTTTACAAACTGACATTTGAGAATTTGAAATTGAGATTAAAGTTTGTACACAGACCACAAAGCTATAATCTTGTTTCATCTTTTCAATGTTTTCCCTGTATTTGCATTTAGTATTATCTCATGAGCAGTGCCCAAATGTTTGGAAACCAAAGCAAGAATCCATGACAATAGGACAGCTAGGTGCTTGGAGTTTTTATTTTATTTCATGTCATAAAGCAATAAACACTCCTTACACGCCTATCAAAATATGCGCTGTATTTTCTGACAATTTGCTGTTTCTTATCAGTTCCTCAGTCAGTCATATTTCCCACTTAGCTGCACTGCCATGGTTCAGGGCTTTGGATTGACATTTCTATTAAGCGTCATGGAGTCAGTTGAGACAGTGGAGACAGTAAACTGGCCTCACATTTCATGTGGGTGGTTCTGTGGTGGAGGAAGAGAAATGTCCGTGGCAGAGGAGTTATTTACCCAAATCAGACTGATAACTCCAACGCCCATCACTTCCTGGAATCAAGGAGCTTCTTCCCAGTGGTTTACATACAGCTGATAGCAGAGTGGATACTGAGTGATTCAGGGCACTGATTGATGCCTTTGGCAGGCTGTCGGAAACCACACAGCTGAAAGAGGAACATTTAAGTGTCATAATGGATGTGCTGCAGTGGAGTGTTAAGGTGGCAGTCGGTGAAAAGTAACAAATGCATGGACTAGTTTTTCTGCATCATTTTTAGACAAGATGTTCCTGATTTTCGCAATATTACGTAGGTGAAAAAAGGCGGTCCTTGAAATTTGCTTAATGTGAGACTTAAACGACATGTCCTGATCAAAGATAACTCCAAGATTCCTCACAGTGGTGCTGGAGGCCCTTTTCCTGGTTCCTGTCAGGACACGTGCTGCAGCATTCTGAATCAGCTGAAGAGACTTAATGGACTTTTTCGGACAGCCTGATGATAAGGAATTGCAGTAATCCAGCCTAGAAGGAAAAAATGCATGGACTAGTTTTTCTGCATAATTTTTAGACAGGATGTTCCAGATTTCTGCAATATTACGTAGGTGAAAAAAAGAGGTCCATGAAATTTGATTAATGTGAGACTTAAACAACATGTCCTGACAACTCCAAGATTCTTCACAGTGGTGCTTGAGGCCAGGGCGATGCCATCCAACGAAACTATATCTTTACATAATGTGTCATGGAGGTGCCTGGGCCCTAGAACAACTTAAACAACAAACTTAAATTTTACCTGAGTTTAATATTAGAAAATTACAGGTCATCCAGATTTCCTGAAGGCACATTTTAATTTTAGCCAACTCATGAGTTTCATCTGGCTAGATATAATTGAGTATCATCTGCATAACAATGAAAGTTAATGGAGTGTTTCCTGATAATATTGCCTAAAGGAAGCATATATAAAGTGAACAGGATTGGTCCCAGCACAGATCCTTGTGGAACTCCATGACTGACTTTGGCGTGCATGGAAGATTAATCGTTAACATGTACAAAATTAAATTGATCTGATAAATAGGACTTAAACCAGTTTATGGTGCTTTCAGAGCAAAAGCGAAGCGAGCGTTTGGTGCAGTGAGTTTACATACAAAGTCAATGCAAAGACACGTAGAGACCATTTCCTTAAAATCGCCTTCTCGCGTTGTGTGTGAACAGCAAATGTACTCGCGCGAGGAAAGTGTGGCGAGGAGAAAATTCGTGTTTGGTCTGAATGCCGCATTAGAGCGGTTCCTTTAATGCCAATTAAATGTTCCAATCTCTGTAATAGGATCTGATGGTCAATCAATCAATCAATCAGACTTTATTTCTAAAGCACATTTAAAACAACCAGGTTGACCAAAGTGCTCTACATTGACATGAAACAATAGACAAAATACAACACCAGACAAATACAACATACAGATCTCATGCCAGATTAAAAGCCAAGGAATAAAAATGTGTTTTAAGTCACGATTTAAAAACCGGAAGGCTTGGTGCCAGTCTGACATGAAGAGGCAATTCATCCACAGTCTCGGGGCTGAGACAGCTCGATTGTCAATGGTATCAAAAACAGTGCTAAGACATAATAAAACCAGTACAGAGACAAGTCCTTTGTCTGATTCAATTAGGAGGTCGTTAGTAATTTTCACCACCGCCCCTAAATAGGACCATAATATACTAAATGAACATCATGCTGTGTTGAAGAAGACTTGAAACTAGCGACTGAGACCATAAACTCATTTAAAAGTGCTTACTGAGGTAATAAATCAGCTGAGAAGTAGCAACATTTTATCATTATTTCTAATGGAACTCGCCCCCTGCTGGCTGTTAGAGAGAATGCAGCTTCACTTTCAACACAGAGGTCGCGGCATGATTGAGATTAGAGAAGTAACATTTGAAACCTCTCTACAACTCTGGATTGGACATCGGTGCGCGCTAAGAGCTGCAAAACAACTGCAGGATGTTGAGTTTCATTGTTTGTTTGTTTTTTTGAAAATACTGATGTTTCGGACCAGTGAGTTGATCAGTTACGTTTTACTGACCCGGGCCATCGGGCCACCATTATTGTAGAGCCCTGAGCTACTTTAAAGTACTGTGGTACATAGCCTGTTGATAAAGACACATTGATCATATCTAGTAAAGAAGTGCTGACTAAGGGTAAAACTTATTTAAGCAGCCTAGTTGGGATGGGTCAGGTTTATGGTTTAGATGAAGAAATTTTTGAAGTTAGTAGGTAAAGATTGAGGGAAGCAGTCTAAACATATATCTGTATCATACATCTGACAAAATGATAGGGCTGATAGGACTGGCACAAACAGGCCGGGAATTTGACTTCATCCCAGGCCACCCTGTGCACGCAAACCTCCAGACCGATAATTTTTGTGGACTAACCCTATATGTTGAGATGACGGGTACCAAACCAGGTATAGTCTTTGACACTATTTTCATCTTCAGACATTTGGGAATGATCATTAAAGTAGCCTATAGATGTAAACACAAGGTATGCTAAGGCTATGGGTGCACCCTCAAAACTCCAGAGAAATAGCCTAGGCTAGCTACACCAATCATAGTACATACAAATGTACAAGGCTACACACAAAAAATAAGCCTAGGCTTTACTTTTAAAAAATAGAATGAGATATACAGAGTTAAAATTTTATCTTTTATATGGGCAAAAGCATCAGTCATACCAAAAAACATCACACACACCCATGTTCACTGAACTTGAACATAACCTACAACAATAAAGGTATGTAGGCCTATAGCCTAATGCAAAAGTCCATAAAGAACTCCTATAGCCTACAAAAAAAATATTTATTAGAGTTCAGTCACTGGTGTCCATAAAGTAAACAGCACAAATATAAACACATCTATCTTCTATCATTCTATCATTTCTGCTAGATAGCCAGCCTATAGGCTATTTAATGTTTTCTGTAGGCCTAGGCAATAAAGAAAATACAGTTGCACAGATTCAGTAGTGTACAGAAGCCGTTGCCATGGTTACTACCAATAGAGCAGTGTTTCCTAGCGGAGCTCTTGTTTGCCTGTTTGTTCACAGGAGGAGCGCAGTGACAACCTACGGATCCGAAAGAGGAGCATGAGGAGGGGTGCACCCTGTCTGAAAAGGCTTTATACACACACACAAACGCTAAAACATGTGGCCAACTGCGTGGAAGCTCTTAAAACCAGCAGAGTAACAGAGAGAGAGAACGCGGACACGTGGATGCACCGATTGTCCTGCTTGCTGGATTAGCCTAAAAAAGCTTGTTATATTATCAAGTTGGTCAAGTTGACAATTAACGGCCCATAGGCCACTGGGAAATGTCCCGTTTTGGCCAATCTGCTAATGCATGACGGTCAGATGAGGAGGCATGGTTTATTATCATTGAAGTCATGTATCGCACACAAATAAGCGCCTTGCCATGATGACGATGTACATGGTTGTACACGATTATCTGCTGCTGAGTTTGAGGTCAACTTGACTTTTACGATTTCAGGCAGGTTTGATCAGTGCGTTACAGTGCTCTCAAGTATGTCTAGTTACTAACTGGCACACATAAAAACCAGTACCAACTTATGTGCAATAAAAAAATATCTGCTGATAAATTGACTCACTGGTTCATACGGCTGAGCAAAATTATTTTCCAGACCTTCATTTCGATACATACATTTTTTTAATAGCACTTTGGCTGTTAGTTCAATGCTAACATCTGATGGGAATCCCCATTAACCTGTTAATATTATATTGCAATTACAATAATATAATCTTAACAAACTAGGCCTATAATGTTCGCGATGGTATAATTTGAAAAATTTGGATCTTTTTTTGCCAGGGGGTGGGAGGTCACAATGCCTGCTCAATGTTATGTCTGTCAGCCAATGGACGATGGCATCGTCTACCAGCCCAACCCTAACTGTCACTAAACAGTTAATAGATAATAATGTGATATAATAGACTTAGGTGGTACACAGCAAGTTGTATTTTCAGCTGTCTTAAAAATTTCAGTAAATTAGAGTTTTTTGAGTGTATTGCAATGTGTATCACATCGCAATATATTGTGATACAATCCTATAGTGACCCTTGTATCATGACTCTTCTTTCGTGATACGTATAGTATCATATCATGAGGTCTTGTCAATACCCAGCCCTACCGGTGCATCTGTGAGGCTCTCAGGTGGGATTGCACTGTGTAACATCTGTTTCTGTCCTCTTTCAGAACAGCCTCGGACTCTACAGGACCTGTGTCGAATAAAAATCCGTCACTGCATTGGCCTTCAAAGTTTGAAATTCTTGGAGGAGCTACCAATCGCAAAGGTTATGAAAGACTATTTAAAACACAAGTTTGACAACGTGTGAAGACGACGACAGTAGAAAAGGAGAGGTTTTTACTGTGAACTCTCTGCTATTGTTTATAAAGACTATGCAATCACTATGATCCTCGTCTGGAAGAAAGGTTCACAGGTCTGTTCTGTACACGCTGAAGGGACAGTTAGTCCAGTTTGTCCGTCTAGTTCGATGCATTTTCTGCTCCTGTTCTCCAGTTCTGCCTTTTTACAGTTGGAAATGGATCTGCCTCACTTGAGCAACGGCGATGGTGTTTGTATGAAAAGAGAACCTCATTTTACAACAGATAGCATTGTTACAGTTATTATCATTTATGTTACTGTAAAAATATGCATGATGTTATCCTTACTGGGTCCTGTTGTCATCATGTGCATACTTGCCAGTTAGTCCATTTTAATCTCCCCACCCTCCATCTTTTTTGTAAGTTATAGAAAGCTAAACCTAAATTGCTGCAGTAATAATTTTCTTTCCGACTCAAAATCGGTAAAGTGTTAAGCTTATTGGATAATGATCCCTTAAAAAACATCTACAAGGTACACTCCCTGGTTTCATTTTATCACCCAAGAGTGAGGATAAAATCACAAAAAAGCCTAGTTCCAAATCATCACCCACATGTCCAAATTGTTCAGTGGCATATTAAGCAAACACCACTCTTGTTGTGCTCATTGACCAGTTATTTCAAGTGAAACCAGTCAGAGCTTGGCAGGTGAGATAAGCAATGGGACATCATCTTCTTACAGAGGTAGCTATGTAGGAAGAGAAAAGTAGTGTTAACGTTTGTGCTCAGTTCTGCTTTGAACAGAAAGCAGGAAGAGGAAGCAAAATGTGGAGCTATAGACGGCTGTGCGATGGACAGTCAGATTTGTTTTTGTTGCAGGACTGACTCCGAACTGCAGCAGACACAACATTAGATGTACTACTCCAATGATATTAAAGCAAGCTCATTACAGTACACTGCAACACACCATTTTCAACCTGTTAGAAATCCATCTGATGTGCCAGTCAGACCGCCACACACACACACACTGAATGTCAGAAACAACAGTCGACCTGGTGTCAGTTCAGCTCAAAGGTCAGTTTTAAAATGTGTGGGGTGCAACCTGTTTGGAGTAGAATTAAATGACACTTTAGCCTTATTAGTAGGCTACATAATGGCCTCCATGCTCACTGCTGATGTGTTAGAACGGAATAGAATTTTACAATAGCAATAGTAAGCTGAAAGGACATTTTGAGGTTTGGAGCTGCTTACAGGGTGCTGTTATTCACAATCAGGGAGTGTGTTTAAGTAGGCAAGAATATAACATACAGCTGAAATGATTTTTGAACTTACGTGGATAATTTGAGACTAGCAGTTGAACAGTGAAAGCATTCTGCAGTGATCAACTGTAAATCCAGTTCTTTCTCCCATGTATACACTATACTACATTTGAGTTTGGCGTGAGAGCACTGATAGAATTCACTTCTGAAAGCACCTCTTTTCCTCACTGAAGCCGTTTGATGGAATCATGAATAATAAGGTCTGTTTTGGATAACACGGACACACAAACTACGCTAGAAGCTAAAGTCAATGTAAATATGTTACATGTATAACAGATATTTTTGTAGAATTTATTTAAGCTATGATCTCTGGTATTCTTAATGTATTTAAAGTTTGGAAAGTATTGTGATCTGTTTGGTGTGACTCAAGTATTTCTTTTTTTTTGTCTGAGTTGAAGTACTCTATTGTACAAGAATAATTCAATCAAGTGTTTTTTGAGTTTTATGGCAGAAATGTTGGTTGCTTTCTTAAAATTCATCATCTCTTGCAGGAATCTCTGTTGAGATTCTACTGTGAATTTTTCATTTTGACAATTTAAAATAAAATGTAGGATTTGGGGTCTAAACAATGGCCACGCCACAGGAAA